CTTGTGGGGAAGATGAGTGGGATGGTGCTTCTGACATGGCCATTCACTATTTAAACTATTATTTTTTTATTTTCGCAGGTAAGGCCCACTGAGCTATGTAGCTCTTTGTCAGAAGCGACCTGGCCACATATGATAGCTCAACGAAGTGGCTTATCACGTGGAAATGTATAGCAGCCAAATATTCGAAACGCGTGATGTTGATTCTAAAGGTGGAGAGAAACATCACGGAGAACGTGCCAAACTCCAAATATGCAACAGGCGTCATGGTCGGGTCTCAACCCACGGACCTCCTGCCTACCAGGCGAGGTAGTTAACATCTCTCCACTGCGGCGTCACACCCACCCACCTCCCCTGAGACAGAGACACCCAGCCCCGAGGACTCGAGCCCATGAATGACCTCAGGAAGATGCTGGCTGGCTGAGTGAGCGAGAGAGATCGAGAGCCAGCGACAGAGATAGAGCGCGCGCGAGCGAGCGAGGGAGAGAAAGCGAGGGGAGAGAGCGAGCGAGGAGAGAGATTGAGAGAGAGAGAGACACCTAACCCCGCCCTCCCTTACAACCCCACGCCACTCCTCCTCGTCTCCTCCGGCACTCGGTGATGCCGCGTGATGTTTCTGACAACAAAGCGGCGCATTGTTGCCGTCCTCAAGGGACGTGACGGTGGCGAACGAGGGCAGCGCGGTGATGGATCTGGGGCGGGTGGGGGTGAGGTTTGCCGGTTTCTGTGTGTGTGAGGACGGGGGGAGCGGTCCTGGCCCTCCCCTAGGTGGACTCAGCCTCGAATGAGTAGCTGGTGCGGTGTGTAAACATCGCCGCTTCGTGTACCGTGCCGGCCTTCATTGGAGCTCGCGGACAGCACTTGCCCCAACAGTCTGTTAAGGCTATACGGGGCATCTTTTCCTCTGTCTTTGGAGCGGTAGTGTAGTGGTTAGCATGCTGTGCTACGAACCTGGCGACCCAAGTTCGATTTCCACTCACGGCCAACACCAGTGACGATTATCTGAACCGGTCATGGGCCTCCTCCCCAAGATCGACTCAGCCTCAAATGAGTAGCTGGTGGTGTGATGTGTAAACATCGCCACTCTGAAGAGAAAGGCGGCCGGGCGTGGTGCTGGCCACCCACCCCCTAGTGTGCCGTGCGGGCCTTCATCGCTGGCGCCACGTTGCCGAAATGTTAACTACCTCGCCTGGTATACAGGAGGTCGTGGGTTCGATCCCCACCCTGACGCCTGCTGCTGTATATTTGGAGTTTGCGTGTCTCTCTCATCATCATCATCACGGTGGCTAGGAGATGTTAACTACCTCGCCTGGTATACAGGAGGTCGTGGGTTCGATCCCCACCCTGACGCCTGCTGCTGTATATTTGGAGTTTGCGTGTCTCTCTCTCATCATCATCACGGTGGCTAGGAGATGTTAACTACCTCGCCTGGTATACAGGAGGTCGTGGGCTCGCTCCCGACCGTGACGCCTGCTGCTGTATATTTGGAGTTTTAATGTCTCTCTCTCCGTGGCTGCGTGGATTCTCCTCCGAGTTTTCCCGTCCGCATTTAGAATCAACGTGCGTTTAACGTTTGACATTTCCACATGATAAGCCACTTCCTTGAGCTATCATCTGAAAAAAAAGCTACATAGCTCAGTGGGCTTTATCTGGTCAATTAAAAAAAATGTCTTTTTTTTTACTTTATAGTTGCTCGATAACAGCACTTGCCCCAACAGTCTGTTACGGCTATACGGGTGATCTTTGTCATTGGGGTGTCGGTGGGGGGATTGAACACCACGGGGCGTGAGACGCCAGGCGCCGTGTGTTGTGCCGTGTGCCCCCAGCCCTTTGAGGTTGGTAACGGGAGCCGCTCGGAGCTCTCAGCCGTAGAGACACCGCGCAGTGCGGGAAAAAAAGCGGAAAGAAGGCAGGGGGGGTGGGGGGGGGGGTGTCGTGAAAAAATCCGCTGGAAAGTTTCGGATAGAAATGTGTTACAGACAATGTGTGTAGTGTATTAGCCACGGTGGCTAGGAGATGTTAGCTACCTCGCCTGGTGTACAGGAGGTCGTGGGTTCCATCCAGACCCTGACGCCTGCTGCTGTATATTTGGAGTTTGCGTGTCTCTCTCTCATCATCATCACGGTGGCTAGGAGATGTTAACTACCTCGCCTGGTGTGCAGGAGGTCGTGGGTTCCATCCCGAGCCTGACGCCTGCTGCTGCTGTATATTTGGAGTTTGCCGGTCTCTCTCTCATCATCATCACGGTGGTCAGGAGATGTTAGCTACCTCGCCTGGTGTGCAGGAGGTCGTGGGTTCCATCCAGACCCTGACGCCTGCTGCTGTATATTTGGAGTTTGCGTGTCTCTCTCTCAGCATCATCACGGTGGCTAGGAGATGTTAACTACCTCGCCTGGTGTGCAGGAGGTCGTGGGTTCCATCCCGAGCCTGACGCCTGCTGCTGTATATTTGGAGTTTGACGGTCTCTCTCTCATCATCATCACGGTGGTCAGGAGATGTTAGCTACCTCGCCTGGTGGGCAGGAGGTCGTGGGTTCCATCCCGAGCCTGATGCTGCTGTATATTTGGAGTTTGACGGTCTCTCTCCACGTGGTAGCGTGGCATTTTTTTCCGTGTCCTCCGGTTTTTCCCTCCACTTTGAGAACACGTGCGCTCAGAGTGTTCGACTGCGATAAATGGCCACGTGAACAGCCACTTGATTAGGCGATCATTTGTGCCTAGTTTGCTGCTAAAAAAGAGCTTTACCTGGTGAAAAAAAAAAGTTTTTACATTGCATATGCAGGGTGGCCCAAAAGTCAGGATAATAAGGGTGATGATATATTTATTTTAACATACCGCATGAGGATACAGTATTTAATTTATTTTAACACGTCTTCAAATCGACTTGCACGAACGTTCGTGCGCGGTGCATGAAGTTACTTTTGAAGTTACTTCTGAACTTTTTTTGTTCTTGTTGTTGTCAAGACTACACGGTTAAATATTTAGAACATTAATCGATTATGTATTTAGAACATGAATAGATTATGTATTTAGAACATTCATCGAATATGTATTTAGAACATTCATCGAATATGTATTTAGAGCATTAATCGATTATGTATTTAGAACATTAATGAATTATGTATTTAGAACATTCATCGATTATGTTTTGATGTCTAAATTCATTTCAGTGGCTCTCGCTCGAGTTTGAGAAACCACGGATTTGAGGTGACCTACACTGGAAGCGATACTAATCACGATAACAGATACATAACTTTAACTTAAAGCATAGACAATGAAAATGTTGTCATGCCACTGTTAAAGCAAATTCAATAACCCCATGCGTTCTGACTTTTGGGCCACCCTGTATTAAATAATGGTGGTGATGACGTCGTCCCCGATGATGAAAAGTTATTTTATTTGAAGACTCTGTGTCTGTGTTCCTGCTCAATCGAGCGTGCAACCGCCCGTTTAAGCGCACGGGCCAGTGATGAGAATTTCACGTTCGTATGGCGAGTCCCTGCCCACAACATGGTGGTTGTTGGCCTCCAACAGCGACGTTTCATCTCCGACCGGAACTGTCCGGAACTTTGCTCCGGGAAGGATTTTAGTCGCCACATCCCCCAGCTCCCTTGTCTGTTGCTCACGACGCCGTGGTGCAGTGCGCGTGTGTGTGACTGTGTGTACGGCGTGCATCGTTGCGGCCTTTTATAGGTCGCTCGCTAACAGCACTTGCCCCCAACACTCTGTTCAGGCTATACGGGGGATCTTTGTCTTGTATGACGGGTAAGCGGTAGGGTAGCGTGTAGCGCGCTGCGCTACGAATCCGGCGACCCGGGTTCGATTCCCGCTCACGGCCAACACCGGTGGCGATTATCTGAACCGGTCGTGGGGCCTCCCCTAGGTCGACTAAGCCTCAAATGAGTACCTGGTACGGTGTGCAAAAACATCGTCACTGGGGAGACAAAAATGCGGCCGGGCGTGGTGAATCGGTGAGCGACGGATCATTAATCGATCACCCTGATTGGGTGAGTGGGCAAGTGAGTGGGTGATTGAGCGAGCCAGTGCAGTGAATCGGTGAGCGCTGGCTCACCAATCAATTACCTCGACTGCTGCATCGTCCTGAACCCTATCGAGTGCAGCAGCGAGGTAGCAGCTGGGAGCTCCTCACTAATAGCAGCAGTGAAAGTTGCGTTCATGCGTCGGTATGTGTCACTACTGGCGAACCGTGTTACGCATGCTGTTGATCTGGGAATTGCCGCTCACTCTGGAGTAGTTGTGCCGAACATGGAGCGTGCCACTAAGAGGTGGGGCCCTTACCATCCGCCCCAACATAAACAAAGCCACTGCCTGTGTAGGTGGTGTCATCAATCACTGCACCCCCTCAACTTTTCATGAGTAATGGGCCAGTTGTGGAGAGAGTGGAGGAATTCCCATACCCTGGGCAGTGTGCTTATGACCAGCTCCGGTTTGGCAGCGGTGGTTTCACTTTGAATCACTTGACTGGCCATTATCTTTTCATCGGCACATGAAGCTCCGGGTCTTCTCAGCCACGGTTATGCCCTCTTCACTACGCTTGCGAAACGTGGACCCAATATTTACACACCACCTCACAGACACATCAAAGGCACTTGCACAGGCTTGAAACATTCAGGCTGGTCTGCCCATGATCCATCCCAGGGTTAACCAGACTGGATTGTGTGAGCTCACATATTCTCGAGAGATTTGTATACGGTAACATCACTGAGCTCCTCCGGCAGGAAAGGCTACGTTTGGCTCGGTCATTTGGCCCGCATGCCCAGCCACCGCTTGCCCAAGCAGCTTCTGTTTGGCCGGATAGAAGGAGCTAAACCGATGCGGCATGGGCAAGAGAAGAGACGGGCTGATGTGTGAGTGGGTGAGTGAGCGGTACGGGCTAGAGAAGAGGTGGGCTAATGTGGGACAGGAGGATGTGGAGCTGAGTTGTCCTGCCGATGACTGGTACCAGCGGTGTCAAATAACCAAGAATAACGAACGATACTGTGAATATCCATTATTTATTATCCAGAGTACAGAATAATATTGCACTCCAATCACATTTTATATTATATCTATTAGCATTAATGACACTTTATGGAGCATCTTTCTTTTCATTGACAAAGCTTCATGTGGGCCAGCACAGGACACGCAGGCCCATGAGTGCAGCTACAAGAGCTGTTTGTTGGCTTGTGTCTTCGGTTATTGTATTTAGCTATTGTCTTTAGTTATTGTATTAAACTATTGTCTTTAGCTATTGTCCATGAGTGTAGCTACAAGAGCTGTATGTTGGCTTGTGTCTTTAGTTATTGTCTTTAGCTATTGTCTTTAGCTATTGTCCATGAGTGTAGCTACAAGAGCTGTATGTTGGCTTGTGTCTTTAGTTATTGTCTTTAGCTATTGCATTTAGCTATTGTCCATGAGTGCAGCGACAAGAGCTGTCTGTTGGCTTGCGTCTTTAGCTATTGCCTCACCACTGATATCCAATCCCAAATGTGCTGCACGTGCATTAACTCCATTCTCACATTATCTTGCAACTGTACTTATCATCATCATCAGCAGCAATACCACAAACCTTCATCACCAACACAATTATCATTATCATCATCACTAACTTGACCATCTCCACTATGATCTTCTCGTCATGAGCACCACCACTATGATCACATAAGAGCATCCCAATAGTCATCACTTTCATCATCATCATCACCACTATTACAACGACCAAAATATTGTATCATCACTACGAGTGTCATCATAACCATCAATTGCCGATCATCGTTTTAATCTCAACCAACACCACTGCCATCATCATTACCAATGTCACCAGTCACTGTGATCTCCATCATCCTCATCATCACTGTCATAAATTACCCATTATCATCATCAGCACCATCACCACCACAAACTTCACCACCACCACCACCACCATCATCATCGCAGATCACGCTCTCCCCCGCGCTCTCCCCGCCGTGTCGGCACCACCTACTTACAGGTGTGGACCTCCGTGCGTCTCCGACGACGCCAACGCTGCTGGTGTCGCGCACAAGCAGAGCAGCTGACGTGGCAGCACCAGTGGAAGGCGCAATTGCACCTTCTCTTCACAGCGCGCCCACCACCACCACCATAGCCATCATCGCCGTCCCTAGTCAAGCCGTCGTCATCATCATCATCATCATCGTCCACGTCATCAGCATCATCGTCCACGTCATCGTCATCATCGTCCACGTCATCATCATCGTCGTCCACGTGGTGCTGGTGGAGCAGCACCGTGTTGTATCCCCGACCGCAGCACAAAATCTCGCAGCCCCCGGCTCCGGGCCGTCGATGGCACCGGCGCCCCGTCGTGCCCGCCACGCCGGCACGCGCGTCCTCCTCGCAGAAGTCGGGGGACTTCTCCAGGAAGACCAGCTCCTCTTTGGTGGGCTTGCGGGGCTTCCAGCTGGTGGTGGAGGTGGTGGGTGGGTGGGTGGTGGCAATAGTGATGGTGTTGGTGGGAGTGGAGATAATGGTCGTGGTGGTGGCGATGTTGATGTTGGTGGTGGTGGTGAAGAGAGTGATGTTGGTGGTGGTGGTAAAGATAGTGGTGGTGGTGGTGATGATGGCGGTGATAGCAGTGGTGGAAATAGTGATGATGGTAATGACGATGGTGGTGGTACTGTATAGTGATGAGGATGTTGGTGTTGGACATTGTGATGATGAAATGGTGGTGGATATAATGAGTTGATGGGTCTCCTCAGTCTGGTAACCAGTGACTTGCATAGAGACTTATAAACTTAAGAGACCCAAAGTTCCACATAAACCTAATTGTGATGAAACCGGGTTCTCCGATGTAGAGAGTTCATGGCAATGTTCTTTACTAATTTTCAGAGGGTGGTCACTTTCGCCGATAAGATATCATCAGTGTAAGGGCCGCCACATATTTTAGACCATTGGGGGTTTGACAGCAGCACGATCATGATGATGTGGGGGGGGGGGGGGGGGGGTGTCACGTGTTGTGTATTATCGGGGGGCCGCACGTCAGGAGCTGCACTAAGGGCCACCAGGGGGCCGACAGTGGTCCACGCGCCTTGCAATGAAGAAGGCTGCGTTCATGGTATTTAGGCCTGGTCACCACAGCGTGACAGAGAGACTCTGACAGACCGAGATGTGATCAAACCGGGTTCTCGAGTGTTGTGAAATGATGATCTCAGCGCCACTCAATATCTCCCTGCCAGAGGAGCCGCGCCCCATCCTCTAGCAGTTGCGTGAGCTCAGTGCTTGCGGGGCTGCGCCTCCTTCAAGACGATCCCACCTTTTCGCATCTCTGGTGCTGGTGGTGTCAGGCCGCTTGAGGTGGAGGAACACGGGACGCCGGTGCCGGGTGGCCAGGACGGCCTCCACGGCCCGGGCGGTCTTGAACTTGGCCTTGAGTCGCAGGGAGACCTCCCGGAGCGGCGGGAGGAGGGCCCAGCAGGTGCGGGCCGAGCAGGAGCCCGAGATGCCGTGGCAGCGACAGTGCAGGGTGCTCGCCCTGCGCAGAGCCTGTGGGCAGGAGATGAATGAGGATGCGACGAATGATCTGATGCTCGCGTTGTCTTTGTGCTGTTCGCCTTCTCGCGATGTTCCCTGGCGTGGCACTGGTGGTGAGACAAGGCCACCAAGGAGGCTGTCTCTGGTGCAGGCCAATCCATTTCAAAGACAATGCGTACGTATATTGTCAGAGCGTGTTTGTTTTGCATGTTTTTGCCACAGGTACGTGTGGTTAATGCAGACTTGATGCCTTGCGAAATGTATCTCTTTGGTGTTTGAACATCTGAACGGCTGTTTTATTGCCAGAAAGCGTAAAATGTATTCTTATTTTTCACACTTTGATGGTGGGAACGTTACAATAGCGAAATATACAAAAACATAATGAGAGTGCAAAGTATAGGAAAGGTAAACAAACCACTTAAAATATAAATACTGATCAAACTAAACTATGTTTTATTTTACCAGGTAAAGCCCACTGGGCAATTAGCGGTGCGAAATAAGTTCATGGGTTGAAGCCACGTGACTTCTAAACTAAACTTTTTATATTTATTTTACCAGGTAAATAACCCCATGTGATATGCTAAAATAAATATACTGCCATAACCCTATGTGTCCTGACTTTTGGGCCACCCTGGATATACAATATTTTTTATTTTACTTTACCAGGTAAGGGCAAACTGAGCTACATATATCTTTTTTTCAGAAGCGATCTGGCTATCACAAGTGATAGCTCAACGAAGTGGCTGATCGTCACGTGGACATTCACAGCAGCCAAATACTCTAAAACGCGTGATGTTGTTGATTCTAAAAGTGGAGGGGAAAAAACCGGAGGACCCGGAGAAACATCCACACGACCACAGGGAGAGAGAGACACGCAAACTCCAAATATACAGCAGCAGGCGTCAGGGTCGGGATCGAACCCACGACCTCCTGTATACCCGGCGAGGTAGTTAACATCTCCTAGCCACCGTGATGATGATGAGAGTGAGACACGCAAACTCCAAATATACAGCAGCAGGCGTCAGGGTCGGGATCGAACCCACGACCTCCTGTATACCAGGCGAGGTAGTTAACATCTCCTAGCCACCGTGATGATGATGAGAGAGAGACACGCAAACTCCAAATATACAGCAGCAGGCGTCAGGGTCGGGATCGAACCCACGACCTCCTGTATACCAGGCGAGGTAGTTAACATCTCCTAGCCACCGTGATGATGATGATGAGAGAGAGACACGCAGACTCCAAATATACAGCAGCAGGCGTCAGGGTCGGGATCGAACCCACGACCTCCTGCATACCAGGCGAGGTAGTTAACATCTCCTAGCAACGTTAACGCCCCTTCGACACGCACACAGTCGGTTGCAACACGATCGCAGTCATAGTTTCGGTGGATTGTTATAGTTCACATTTTTTTCACTCACATGTCGTTTGTGGTAGATGGACGAATGGGAGGTGGGCACGGAAGGGGAGATTGGGTGTGGCGTGGTGAGGTGGGAGACTGGGCTAGAGAGGTCAGAGCTGGCTGGTGTCCGTGGGGAAGCGTGGTTGGCCCGTCTCTACCATCCACTTTATGTACTTCTGTGACTAGATACAGTCCCATTTGCAAAGGGGCTATCCATTTAGTACGTACGCATGGAGGGGGGGGTTAATCGAAATGCGTAGCTTGCGTATGGCGGGGGGGGATCTACTGTGGGCATGCTAATCTGATTGCTGTGCCCCCTTCCCCCCCCCCTAACCACGCTGCAGCGGCATGTGCCGTGGCTCCCAGTCCATGCTAATTTGTATTCCTTTGCTCTGTCTCCACCCCTCCTCCCTCCCCCTCTATTTAAGGCTTCGTTCACAGAAGCATTGTTTCGCTGTGTCCCATGTGTCTCTCTCTCTCTCTCTGTGTGTCTCTGTGCTGGCTCTCTCAACTTGGATGTCTATATATGTGTCTGTGATCTGTAATCTATCACTCTTAACCTATAATTTAGCAATCTTTGAAATAGCGCAATCAGCCAGACCATGCGTTAATTGTGTTTTGACCGACCCTCTGTGCTGCATTTGTTTCCAAATTTTACTAAATCTTGTTCGATTTGATGTGCTTCTCCATCTCTCCGTGTTTCCCCTCTCTCTCTTAAATTTAGCTCTTCTATACCTGATGATGATTGCTTGCGTTGCAATCGAAACGTCGTATACGATGATGTAATTTTATTTTATGATTATTTCTTATTTGTACGTGACTTTACCGAAAAAACCAAAGAGTAGAATTGAGTAGTTTGTCGAGAATGTTCCTCCCCACAGAGGACTCGGTCCGCTGTGGCCAGTCCTGCCTGTGGTAGTGCGCCTTGGTGTCTAAATCTTTCGTCGTAATTGTTTGCATTAATCTTCATTTGTATTACTTTATGTATAAATACATGTTAATTTTGATTCACATATTGTTTTTTTTCTGACTTTATGTGAACGAAAAGGCAAAAATTCCCCCGTTTTCTCATTGAAGATAGGTACATTTTAAAATATCACTGTCCTGGTCACCAAGGCAAAGTTTGTGGGGAATAATATCCATTTTCTGTACTTTTGAGGCATAAGCAATTAGGAAATAACACTTACTACCCAGGAACATTTTGTTTTGTTACACAGTGATATCGGCCGTTCTATAGGATTCGGTGTCGGGGGTGGGGGCGTCAAGCGTACGTACGCAGGTGGGGGGGGGGGGGGGGGGGGGGGGGGTTAAAAAGTGCGCGTGCGTACAGGGAGGGGGGGGAGGGGTCACGTTTTGACAGATTTGTGCGTACGTACTCAATGGATGACCCCAAATGTGATTTGTTTGCAAATGTGAACTTTGATCCTTACCCGTGTAGCATCGATAGTTCAATGTGATGTGTAACGTGACATTTTATTGAGGGACTACTGTGTAGTGTTATCTTGGTGTCGTCTGAGACTATTTTGCTGTTTTTGATGTCTTTCCCAAGCTTGATAAATCGTACTAATACAATTATTTAAATAATTACGTATTTACATTCCGTTAATTTTCTCATCGTTTTCTCTAGTTTGCACTTCTATCGGTTTTTTTGGCATTGTTTTTTTGTCATTGTTACTCGCTGACCTAGCCCAGGCTGGAACATCTGCGAAGAAGAGCTTCACAGCTTATCGGATTCCTCCTCCTCCTGCAGTCCAAATGAATATTCTGATTCTGCCCGCCTCTTTTGAACGTCTGGGCCCCCTAGAGCTCATGGGCCGTGCCACGGTTTGCACGGTCTACACATTGGGCCAATCGCTGCACGTTTACTGGGTAGCGTTGGTGTCTGCCGGGACCCTCAATCAACCCATCACATCTGTCCCAGGATCTCCTGTCGGCAGCGAGCCTTCCTCACTTCACGTCGCCTCAAGGTGCACCTAGCCTGGCACAAAGCCCCGTGGTGACGCCACTTGCAGTCGTTGAGGCATGGGAGGGGGGGACCCTTTAAAATGTAACCAAGATAGTACAAAAAAACCGCTGAATATCGCACTCCCGAAGCTGAAATGTTGGGCATTGTTGAAGCAAAGTGGAGCTGACACGCTGCGTGGAAACGTTTCGTGTCAGTGCCAGTCCCAGTCCTGTACTCCATAGTAGTCACTGTTGGTGCATTGGATTATGCGCTCCACAATTTGTCTTGCGGTTACATTTAACATTTTTGGGTGGTATTTTTTTAACGTTTCTTTGCAATTGTTTTCGTTTGCTATATAATGCAAACATGTAATATATATTTATATATTGTATCACAATGCAAAATAGTAATATAACTACAAAAAGCTGTAAAACGTGACCCACTGTTGCCCGTTAATGAGATTGACAAACCCGAGCCATCAGCCGCACGAAACCGCTCTCGAAGGTGCTCAAACCCAAGCCACGTTGCCTGCAACTACTTTGTCCAACGTCTCAACGTTAACACCCCCCCCATCCACCCACTGGCCGCGCTCCAAATCCGGTTCGTCCATTGCCATGGCGGGGAACGCCGCACAGACAGACAGACAGGGGGCATGGCAGCAGCGGTGGCAGTGCCCGTCAGTACCGTGGGAGGAGAGAGGGAGGGAGGGAGGGAGGGGAGGGAAGGAGGGGAGGGAGGGGAGGGAGGGGAGGGAGGGGAGGGGAGGGAGGGAGGGGAGGGAGGGAGGGAGGGAGGGGAGGGAGGGGAGGGAGGGGAGGGAGGGGAGGGGAGGGAGGGGAGGGAGGGGAGGGAGGGGAGGAGAGGGAGGGGAGGGGAGGGAGGGCAGTGATGACAGGGCAGCAGTCGCTCCGGGTGGCTGCCCGGATCCTGGCCGAAGCCAAGGGGGCCTTCTCAGCGGCAGCGGGGAGAACGCCCCCCATCGGCGTTGGGGATGACGAGGCCCCTCTCGGTTCCCCTCCACCGGAGCTCTCAGTCGTGCCACTGCATCGCCAATGCCGACAAACGAAGGCGGATCACAACCTGTGCCGGCTAGAAGACCTACCGGAGGTGGCCTTCGCAAATGTCAAGAGGAAGGTGCTCTACTCCTACATGGTCCGGTTCCACCAACAAGACACCCTGAGGAGCCACAAGGACCATGCCTGGAGGAGAGCCCTGCCCTGCGTCTCTCCGGCGAGGCCTCGCTGGAGGCAACTCTACTGCAGACCGACGTACGACCGCATCGGCGACCTCGGCTGGAGCATCGCCCACGGCACCGTCACCACCAATGTCTCCCTGGCGCGCTTCACCGACACGTCCCCGGAGTGTCGGTTCTGCGGTAAAGTGGAGACGGTGGCGCACCAATACGTGGAGTGCAAGAGCCTGGCCTCGCTGTTCAAGGTCCTGAGAAACATCCTTCTAAGGTTCAGCCTCCACTTTTTCCCGACGGTCCTCATCTTTGGATACCCGAAGGGCGACGGACCCCAACATCTTCAGGGGCTGGTCCACGTGCTCTTCGGCTACGACAAGCTCGCCATATACAGGGCGAGGAAGGTGGCCCTGGAGGGGCAACGTCCAGCCAGCAGCCTGGGCATCTTCCGCGCTCTGGTCGGAGCCAGGGTGTGGCCGGAGTTCCGCCATGCGCGGCTGACCCACGCCGTGCCGGCCTTCAAGGAGCAGTGGGCGCTGGAGGAGGCCGTGTGCTCGGTGGCAGATGACGGAGAGCTCTGCATGTAGATCTAAGCTACCCGTCGGAGGCCGTTTGACTGTGGGAAGGGCTGCGTGCAGATGCAGCACTTGTCGTAGTTATAAAGAAAAAAGAGAGAGCAAGAGAGAGCCAAATGGAGTAGGAAGAGAGGGGGCAGAGAGAGAGGGGGGGCGGAGAGGGGGTAGAGAGAGAGGAGAGGCAGAGAAGGGGGTAGAGAGAGACGGGGGGGGCAGAGAGGGGGGTAGAGAGAGAGAGGGAAGGGGAAAGGAGAAAAAAAAGAAAAAACAATTTTTTGGGTCTTTCATTTAAAAGGGGGGGGTTACATAAAGCAAAGCATTAAAAAAAACGAAATGATGAACGGAGCAAAGAGCCGACTACACCGAGCATCTTCTTGTTTCTTCTGATCGTAAAAAAATAAAAAAGAGAGAGGGAGGGGATGGAGAGAGGGAAGGGAGGGGAGGGAGAGAGGGAGGGGAGGCAGAGAGGGAAGGGAGGGGAGGGAGAGAGGGAAGGGAGGGCTGGGAGGGGAGGGAGAGAGGGAGGGCTGGGAGGGGAGGGGAGGGAGAGAGGGAAGGGAGGGGAGGGAGAGGAGGGAGAGAGGGAAGAGAGGGGAGGGAGAGAGAGAAGGGAGGGCTGGGAGGGGAGGGGAGGGAGAGAGGGAAGGGAGGGAGGGGCTCGCACCTCGCGCCCCGCCCCGTGGTTGTGCAGGTTCATGAGCGCGCGGGCCTCGTGCGCCGCCTCGCCCGCGTCCACGAACTCTCGCGAGAACTCCACGCCGTGCTCCAAGTCCGCAGAGCAGCCGCCCCACCGCCACGCCGCTTCGTCCTTCCAGAGCCCGCCCCCCATGCCGTTAGCTCTGCCCGCCGCCGCCCCGTTGACCCTCCCCACCACGGCCGTACCCCCCTTAGACCTCCCCGCCGTTCCGCTGACCCCGCCCTTCATGCCGTAGGCACCGCCCATCCGCTCGTGGGTTCCGCCCCACGCTCTGTGAGCCCCGCCCACCGCCGTGTCACTCTGGTAAGCTCCGCCTACTGTCCCGTAATCCCCGCCCACGATCATGTTAGCACCGCCCACGGCCCCGTTGGCCCCGCCGTGCGGCGAGGCCAGCCCCTCCTTGGTGGCATCGCAGCCGCAGCCGCCGAGGGCTCCGCGGCTGCAGGCCGCCGTCACGGCGTGAGCGACAGCGGCGGCCGTGAGGGCATGGAAGAAGGCAGCCTCACGGCTCCCTATGGGAGGGGGAGGGAGGAAACATCATCGTCGTTGTCATCGTCGAATCGAGGAAAACGGTCGCGCCTTTCCCGTTCATCAAGACCTCGACGCAGTGTCAAATTAAGCTGGTGCGGGGCCTGTAGTACATTATGTTATAAAGGGGCCCTAAATAAAAAAAACACATAAATACTAAAACACATTTTTTACTTCCATTGTAAAGTAATTGTATTTTTTCATTTGCTATACAGCCAGATAATACGACCTTAAACACCCAGTCCATAAAAGTTGAAGGCGTAATAGTACTATAGTAATAGAGCAAGTGCAGAATCACTGAACCGGAATTGACAGCTTAGAAGCATTTAGCGCGGGGTCCTTGAAAGTGCGGGACCCGTAGCATGTGCTACTTGCGCTACTTGGAAAATCCGTCACTGTCTCGACGACGTCCCTCGACATCGCTTGAAGTCACGCCACGCAAGCCCCTTTTGGACCCAACCGCTTAACCTTCAACAATGCGAGTTCAAGCCCGATGAAGGGTTGAGAGCTGAACGGAGTTCAAAAGAACTCACATACACCTTTGGGAAAGACCCAACGCAGAAGATCCCTGGGTTTGAGGATTCACGAAGCTCATGGTCCACGCTAAACCGCATCCGCGCAAACCGTAGCAGATGCGATTACCCGATGCATGAATGGAAAATTAAAATCTCTCCAGTGGACATCCAGAATAGACCGTACAACGTATAACGACGCAATGCCAGATCCACAAATACGAAGGAGACATCGCATCGATACAATCCGCTACTCCTGACGAAAGCAGGGCATCTATGTGCTGGCAAGATAATTATGGAAGTCGTGGGGCAGAGTCCCATCGAGACCCCATGGCAGCCAAAAGAGCATGGATATCCATCCGGAAGGTTTATAAAAGCGACCCTAGGTAAGACGGAGCAACGCGACGACACACCACTGCAGAGCGGCACCAACTCCTGGGACACGGCAGGGCACCGGACGACAACTCAAGACGCGGCGGCTTAAGCGACGAGGAAACCAGGAGATTAACTATTTTGCGGCGTAGTACAACATGGCTGAGCTAAATTCAAGAAATTAGAGCCTCATTTAGAATGGCAAAGCCGCCGGTACACTGTATTGACATTCGCACTGACTGAGAAGACCACACACTTTGGACCAGTAACAAATCTGGCGGCAGGCACGCAACAGGGCACTCATAAAGCCAGGGAAGAATGCATCAGAGACAAAGAGCTTTGGGCCGACATTACTACTACGCCACAAACTGTACGAGCGCCTAATTCCAAACCGTCTATCGCCATTTGATGAGCAGCATCTGATCTTGGAGCAAGCTGAATGCTCTCTCCGTCCACAAAATCCTGCACTACTCAAGTGCTAAACGTCACTAAACTCACCGAAGTCAGCTTTGACAAGGGTCTAGCAACAGGCGCTGTTGTTTTGCCGACCTGACAGCGGCGTATGACACAGTGAACTTCCGGAAGCTCCTCACTTAATATCTACAGCTTAACGCACGACCGCCACCATGGTACGACCGACACAGTCTCTAGCAGAGCCAACGGTTCTACGTCGAACTTTGCAGGAAGCGGAGCCGCTGGCGACCACAGCTCAACGACCTCCCACACCCAATGGGGGACCGTACTTGTGCCAACAGTCTCCAACGTGAGAATAGGGTTTCCCCTTTTTTCTGGCAACAAAACAGGTGTTAAGATATTAAAATACCAAACTGAAGCCTTTTACAAGTGTAGTGTAGTAGAACGACACTGCTGTGTTGGCTCGGTATGGGGGCCTGTAGGCGGGTGTCACGGAGGTCGTGTCAGGCCGTGACACTCTGCGTTAACCCAACAGGACAGGTGACTAGATAAAGGGGGGCCAGGGGCCTCAGGGGGGTCACGTGGTTGGGGACTCGGGCCGTCCCGAAAGATCGGGAAGGGGGGCGTGGCCTGGGGCGGAGCTGGTCACGCTGGAGCGGTTATAAGCGGGGTGTGGACGCTGTTCTGTGCTGTTCTGCTGCGTCAACTCTGGGATGAAGCCACCATCTACGATCCTCGGTCTCCGGTCCAGAAATGTATCCCCGTGTGTTAGCTCAGTTAGGAACGGCAGTTACCACCACCCTATGTCGTTATCCTGTTAATGTTAAGAGCTACCCGTTGTGTTTAGACAATAGTTTTGCCTCCAAACAGGGGCGGAGCCAGGATTTTCAGCCCGGGGTGACATTCAACAAATTTTAATTTCAAGAATGATTAGAGAGTCAGGCTGTTGAACTAGACGCCATCGGTTGGCGACACACTCTGACAATGCAGTTGCATGGAGTCCACCAGACCGAGTGTCGTATACTTATACGCAGAATGTTTCATATTTTCGATTTTTTATTTTTTTTCGGGGGTGACAATTGTCTACCCTGTCACCCCCCTGGCTCCGCCCCTGCCTCCAAAGTTCCAGTGTGCACCTGAATTTAACCCACTACACAAGGAATCATGTCTGCATTTACCACAATACTTGTGGTCAGAATGCAAACAAAATACATCCTCTGATAGAGACAGCTTTCTTTCGAGCCTAGTCTAGTCTCAAACGGTTTTAGACCAGAAGACGCGTTTTCTGGTTGAACACTGTTTGAGAGACTAGGCTCAAATGAAATCTGTCTCTGGTGTGGACCAATGAGTTTCAAAGACAATGCATATGCTATCAAAGTGCGTTTTTTGTTTGCATTCTTACCACAAGTATTGTGGTTAATGCGGACATGATTCCTTGCAAAAGGTTTCAGTTTGGGGTTTTAACATCCTAACACAGCTGTTTTGTTGCCAGAAAAAGGGGAAAACCTATTCTCGTATTTTGATACTGGCAAAGGAGGTCCCATGAAGTCTCCAAACGTCTAGCCAGTCCATCCTGACGGCGAGGAGGATTAGCTATGCCGACGACCTGTGTATACATCGCTATCCAACCTATGGACTTCACCAAGATTGAAACTACGCTAACATCAGCACCTGACTCGGTTATCAGTCTACTACACTGAGAAGCAATAACGTGCGGACCCAGCTAAGACGCAGGCGAGTCTCTTCTGTCTCCGGGGCAAACCTGGAGGCCCACAGACCACTCGGCATTGTCGTGAACGGGGTACCCGCTCGCTTACTGCTGGAATCACGTCGACCTCGGAGTGAGGTCAGACTGCGCGTTCTCCTGCAAGGATTAGCACGGTTGGCTGCGCAGGTGCGAAAGGAAGTTCAACTTACATACAAGGTGTACCGGCAAAAGAAGAAAAGGCGAAGCAAGTGCCCAGAACACCGAGCAATGCTACGACGCAATAACTTTGCTAATCTACAGCCGGATATGCGTATTCGGTACACGAAATATCGGCTCACATAAATAATCCATAACGTGTGCTGAATGGCAGCTATGGATGCGTTATCGGATGCCGATAACCAAGACCTATAAACAGCTAGTCCATGTTATTATTCTTGGTTCTTTCGGTAAAGTCACGTAGAAGGGAAACAATAAAATAATAAAAATATAAAACAATAAAATTCTCACGACGTTTCGACTGTAACACAAGCAATCATCATCAGGTGTGAAAATCACAACCCTTCTACGTGACTTTACCGAAAGAACCAAGAATATGAATCCCTGCAGTCACGAAAGCTAGTCCATGGTTAGGGGCCATCCATAAATGACGTCACGCGATTTTAGACAATTTTTAACCCCCCCCCCCCTTCGTCACACGACGTCACAAAAAGTCAGACCCCCCCCTCAAATATGACGTCACAAAGCTCTGCTCCCCCCCCCCCCAAATAAAACATGCTTCAAATCGCTTTAAACTATTGTCATTTGAGTGCGTATTTAATGTGGAGCTGCACTCTGATGTTGTAGGAGAAAACATTTATTAAAAAGCCTATTTAATTAAGTAGAACGTGTTGTCTATATTTATTTAAAGTTGCGCATTTTAATGTGACGTCACAATTCTCCATCCCTCCCCCCCCCCCCTCGTCACACATCGTCACAAATGTCTGACCACCCCCCCCCCCAGGTGCGTGACGTCATTTATGGACGGCCCCTTACGGGAATCGCCCCACTGGACACCAGGAGAGTGGCCTCAAGCCAAATGGAATGACAAGGGGAGGACACTCGACACCCGCCACACGGTCACGCCGTGGAGATCGACAGAGACAGGGAGATACACAGACACGGAGATACGATCACGACGGATGGAGGACACTCGACCCCCCCCCCCCCCCCTCGCTCCCCCCGCTCCCCCCCCCCCCCCCCCCCAAGATCGCTAAACCATAGCTGTAAGCAACCTAAAGTCATGGAAAGGCTTCCTAGCCGCAACGGCACTGCTTACAAATTGCCGGCGGCTATACGCCTGGAATTGTGTCGAACACGGCTGGACGCCATAACTAATGACGTCACAACGCACTTCGATGTCGACGGACGCCTCGCCGCTGTAAGCGCACGTTGCATCACACGGGACAGGCAGACCTCGCTTAGCGCTCAAGATGCGTTCCTGGAGGAGTGAGCGCTAATCGAAACGACGTTAAAAGGGGCCATATCATTGCACATATAGGGAATGCGTTCCCGACAGCGTTATTTCTTTCGTATGCGCAATATACGAGTGCTTCATATGGGCATCGCTAAATGTTGCTCCCAATCCGGGTGATTCTAAGAGCTCCAGGACCTCCGTGGTCTTAGTGATGCCCTCAATCTACATTTCACTTTAACATGTTTTTCTTGTTGGTGTTTTTGTTTGTTTGTTGTGGTTGCACCCGATTCAAGAGCCGAATGGCTCACAGGGCTAATACCAAAATAAACTGGAGCTGAACTGAACTTCTGTGGTGAGGTTTATTTTAGGTGGAGCCTGAGACTCTGCCCTGGTCTCGCGATTTATCACCTGGCGAAACAAATCGATTGTTTTAACAACATTTGATCGTGACTACAAAATGTAATAATTCGAATCGCCGGGGGTGAGGTCTGATTGGCCGTGAGTGTAAGTCGCTCTCATTGGCTGAGCGAATGATGGGGACCTGAGTTGCTGCGTGTTTTCACTCGTAAGTGCTAGAAAAATTTGGTAAAAATGTTATCCGGGACAAAGAGCGTTATAACGAATCAGCGTTCTACGAGGTCACGCTAAGCTAGGTCTGCGTGTGTATATCAATCATCAGCCGTATCCATAGCAGACGCACTAACAATTAGCGATCATCATTATCACGGCGGTAGCATCACCACCAACATCAGGACCATAGCCTCCAAACCACCACCTCCATCACGACTACCACCACCACGTGTCCTAACACCAGCACCGTCATCATAAACACACCACCACGTGTCCCATCACGACCAGTTTCATATCCCCTGAGCCACGTAGTGGACACTGGTGGTGGAGCCGTCCATCCCAACAATTAAACCACCACCACCACCACGTGTCCCATCACCGCCCACCATCAACCACGTGTCCCACGACCACATGCTCCAAATATCCCATCACCACCACCTCCAACCACCACATGTCCCATCACCACCGCGCGTGCCCCACGTGTCCCACGTGTCCCACCGACGGGCAGCCTCCTGCCCATCATCCCCACGGCCCCGCCGATGCCCGTGCAGTTCCAGCGCTGCTCGCGGAAGAGTCGCGAGCACTCCGCGGCGGCCGCCTCCACCCCGAGCCCCGCGGCCACCACGGCGCGTGGCCGGCGGGCACACGCGGTCCTCTGGCGCGCGGAGAGCCCCGCCAGGCGCACGCAGATGGCGCTCGCGCCCAGGGCAGCGGTGCCGGGCACGGCCCTGCAGGGCAGCGTGGGCGAGGAATGGGGAGCGGGGGGGGGGCCGGGGGCAGGGTGGGGATGTGAGAGGGGAAAAGGAGGGAGTAAAACAATATTAGAAACCGGGCACGGCCCTAAAGGGCAGCGCGGCGTGGTAGGTGCGCGGGGGGTGGGGGGTGATAATGATGTGGTGGTGGCCAGAGAGGGGAGGAGAGTGGAAACGAGAAGGGGAGAAGGATCCAAGACAAGGGTTGAGCAATAAGATAGTAGGGGTTGGAGGTGGGGGAGAAGGAAATATACCGGGTAGGCCGATGAAGGGCAGCAGTAGAGTGGTGTGAAAAGGAAGATTTGGGGGGGGAGGAATGGAGAGCAAGGGAAAAGGCGCAGGATCACTGAGGCAGCGATCTTGTAAGCATGGGTTGGTGGCTCGCGCAGTGACGGGCGCGATAACAGACGACGACAGGAGGATGATAGCATGAGGTGGATGAGGCTGTACGACTCATTTTACTCGCGAGGTCTGACCCAAAAATCAATTATGAATCGGAGTTGATTACCCAGGAAAGTCCAAGGGAGTCTTCATAACGAGTGTACTGCTTTCGTTGTTTACACGAGGGAGGAAACCAGAGCGCCCAGAGAAACCCCACGCGTGCGAGGGGGCAACGCTCAATCCCCCTACCGATGGAAACAGGTGGAGATGAGTCGACACTTTTCTGTAGGGCCTTCTCCTGGCGAGCCACGAGTATAACGGGCACCTCCTTGATGCCCACGGGGAATGAGTTGCAACAGAAGGAGATTAGTTCACACTTGCCGTAGAGCCCTGCGGCAAACCAGGGTATATGGCTCCTCGATTACCACCCATGGGAAGGGAGTTTCGCAAAAGATCTCTGCGGTGATCCACCAACCCTTGCTGCTGCCTCCACGGTGCTGGATTGTCACACAGCCAGCCAGCCACGCGCAGCAGCTTAGCCACGATTAGAAAAGAACAGATAACAAGCCAAAAACGAACCTGGGTAGTGCGTTACGAAGCGTGAGATGTGTGCACGGGTGGGATGTTAACTACATCGCCTGGTGTGCAGGAGGTCGTGGGTTCGATCCCGACGCCTGTGGTATATTTTGAGTTTGCGGTGTCTCTCTCTCCCCGTGGTGGCGTGGATTTTTCTCTGGGTCCTCCGGGTCTCCCCCTCCACATTTAGAGTCGACGACACGCGTTTATAGAGTGTTTGGCTTGCTGTACATTTCAACGTGATGAGCAACTTCGTCGGGCTATCATTTGTGGCCAGATCGCTTCTGAAAACGAGCCGTACAGCTCAGTGGGCTTTACCTGGGTAAATTAGAAAATAAATTGTGCAACAAAAATGTTATGTCCTCAGATTTGAGCCGTGAACCTTTATTGTTGAGACACGTACACGATTTTACGACGGAATTGCAACCAAAATTTGCGTTTAATGCAGAGAACACGCCCGGATTGGACAGTCAGCGAGCGCGGAGACTGAACGATGGAATGAGCGAACCTTGCTTGCAGGCTACATCGGATGGATTGATACCAACGCAGGGACCGTGCGAGATCGACTGCATCGCTGGGAGGCCTTCAATCCAGCAGTGGATCAATAATGGTGCATGCATTGCGTTGTACGTACATGTGAAAGGATATACGTGTGTGTGTGTGTGTGTGCATGCGTTCCACTCACCCCTGCCGCTCGTATATGCACGTCACCACCAGCAAGAGACGGAGCCAATTTCTAGGAACCTCCCAACCCATCCTAACATGTCCTCCACTCACCCTACACGGCACTCCGAAGCACCGAATACGACTGCGGATATCATAGGGCGATCACTCAATGCCCCACGCTGTACTCGCTCCGGGATGACCCGTTCACACACACACACAGGTCTCCAACCCTGCCTAACGAGCCCTTGTGTGTGCGTGTTCGCGTGTGTGAGACAGGTGTGTGTGTGAGAGAGAGAGAGTGGGTGTGTTTTTACTTTGTGTGTGTGTGTGAGAGGGTGTGTTAATACTCGTTCGTGTGTGTGTACGCGCGAGTTCGAGGATCGGTAGTGTAGCGTGTGCAGTGCCGGCCTTTATAGGTGCTCGCTAACAGCACTTGCTCCTGCAGTCTGTAAAGGCTACACGGAGGATTTTTGTCTTTGTACGCGCGAGTATCTAAGACACACGGGGAGCGGTAGTGTAGCGGTTAGCGCGCTGCGCTACGAACCCGGCGACCCGAGTTCGATTCCTGCTCACGGTCGACAACAGTGACGATTCTCTGAACCGGTCCTGGGCCTCCCCTAGGTCAACTCAGCCTCAAATTAGTTTCTGATGCGGTGTGTAAACATCGCCGCTAGGGAGACAAAGGCGGCCGGGCGTGGTGCTGGCCACCCACCCACTCGTGTGCCGACCTTCATAAGTTCTCACAGCACTTGCCCCAACAGTCTGTTAAGGCTACACGGGGGATCTTTGTCTTTTGTATCTGAGCGAACGTGGGGAGCGGTGACGCAGTGGTTAGCGCAGCCGCGCTATGAACCAGGTGAGTGAAGTTCGATTCCCGCTCACGGCCAACATCAGTGACAGCGAATATCTGAACCGGTGCTCTTGGGCCCTCCCACAAGGTCCACTCGGCCTTAAATAATTACCTGGTGCGGTGTGTATAAAACATCAGCACTGGGGAGACAAAGGCGGCCGGGCGTGCTATTAAATTATTGGTCACCCACCCCTTCGTGTGGCCTGTTAGCCTCGGAAAGGTGTTCGTTCGCTCGTCTCACTTTCCCAAACACCATGTGTAGGCTATACGGGGGACATTTGTCTTTGTTGCGTGAGTGCATTGATACGGGTTCGTGTTTGGACGTGTATGAAATGTAGCTGGAAGGTTCGTCGTGCGCCTTACATGCCTACCCACACACACAAAGACACAGTACCCCTGCCCTTATAGCCTTCAATGGCCTGCCGGGGCAAGTGCTGCAAGCAAGCACCGACGAAGGCCGGGAACGGCACGTAGAGGAGTCAGCGTGTGGCCGTAGCCATTAACCGGACGCCTTCGTCTCCGGCTACTCAATTTGTTTTTTTAAGGCTGAGTTGACCTAGGGGAGGCCAAGGACCTGTTCAAATATTTGCCACCGTATTTGGTTGTGAGCGGGAATTGAACTCTGCAAGGCTGGGTTAGGGGCCGTCCGTAAATGACGTCACGCGATTTTGGACGATTTTTGACCCCCCCCCCCTCTCGTTACACGGCGTCACAAAAAGTGAGACCCCCCCCCCCTCAAATATGACGTCACAAAGCTCTGCCCCCCCCCTCCTCCTCCCAAAAAATATAAAACATGCTTCAAATCGCTTTCAACTATTGTCATTGTAGTGCGCATTTAATGTGGCGCTGCACTCTGATGTTGTAGGAGAAAACATTTATTAAAAAGTCTATTTATAATTAAGTAGAACGTGTTGTCTACATTTATTTAAAGTCGCGCATTTTGATGTGACGTCACATTTCTCAACCCCCCCCCCCTCGTCACACATCGTCACAAATGTCTGACCCCCCCCCCCCAGGTGCGTGACGTCATTTATGGACGGCCCCTTAGTAGCGCAGTGCGCTAACCGCTACGCTACAGCTCCCCAAAGGCACGCACGCTAAAGGATCCCACTGTTGGTCATATGCCAGACCGCTGATGAAGCTGTTAGAACTTATAACCGTGATACTTTAAAAAAACGCAAATAACTACACTGTACACGCGATCACATAGCCATAGAGAGTAAGCCTTTTAACAGACTGTTGGGGCAAGCGCTGTTCGCGAGCATCTATGAAGGCCGGCACAGCACACTAGGGGGTGGATGGCCAACACCACGCCCGGCCGCCTTTGTCTCCCCGGTGCTGATGTTTACACAGCGCTACAGGTGCTCATTCAAGGACGAGTTGATCAAAGGGAGACCCAGAACCGGTTCAGATATCATTCGCTCCTGATGACGGGAAGCGAACTCAGATCTGCGGGTTCGTTGCGCGGTGCGGTGACCTCTGCCCACACACAAACACAAGCGTACAGACACACGGCGACACACGCAGACACACATATAGACAGACACACACACACAAACACACAGACAGACACACAGACACACACACAGACACATACACAAGCGCAGACACACGGCGACACACGCAGACACACACACACAGAGACACAGACACAAGCGCATAGACACACACAAACACACACAGACACACACACACAAACACACACAAGCGCACAGACACAGTCACAAACACAAGCGCACAGACACACACAAACACAACAACAACCGCCAATCGCCACTAAGTGGCGGTGACGTCACCACGACGACACTTGTGCCAGGCCATGTGCACCTTGAGGCCACGTGAAGTGTCGAACGCCCGCTGGCAGGAGGTCACGGGGCAGACCCAGGTGCCACGGGTCGACTGACTGAGATGACTGGCTGGTGAACCACCTGTGCCCCCTACTGTGCTAACCTGCTGTGCTTTAGCCACCCGGCGCTCCGCTCGTTGTTGTGAGCGTCGCTTCTCCGCCCTCCGTTATTGTTGGAGGGCGACTTCCTCCAACTGCCCAATAGCGTCCTTCACGAGCCTCCTCCACAGAGGCCGATCTTGACACCGCTGGTACCAGTCATCGGCAAGTCCACTCAGCTCCACGTCCTCCTGTACCACATCACTCCATCTCTTCTCTAGCCCGTGCCGCGCCCGTTTGGCCCCCTCAATCCTCCCGAACAAAAGCTGTTTCGGCATGCGGTGGCTGGGCATGTGGGCTACATGACCCAGCCAACGCAGCCTTGCCTTGCAGAGGAGCTCACCGATGGGACCAAGTCCAGATCTTTCAAGGATTTGTGAGCTCCTCACACAATCCAGCCTGGTTAAACCCAGGATGGATCGTAGGCAGGCTAGCCTAAATGTTTCTAACCGGCGAAGATGTTCCACTAGGGGGGTCCACGTTTCGGAAGCGTAGAGAAGGGAGGGAATGACCGTGGCCGAGAAGACCTGAAACTTAGTGCGGAGCGACAGACCAGGTAGCTTTCACACAGCGTTACGCAACCGATGAAAAGATATTGCCGCACGACTGATTCGGAGTGAGTCCTCTGCTGTTAAACTGGAGCCGGTCATAAGCACACTGCCCAGGTATGGGAAACTCTCCACACTCTCCACATTTGGAGTTGTGGGGGTGAGTGTCCGATATTACAAAATACCCAGGCAGTGCTTAGTTTTGGTGGGGCTGATGGTAAGGCCCCATCTCTTAGTGGCACGCTCCAGTCTCAGCAGCAGCGTCTCCAACTCCTCCTCTGAATGAGCAGCTATTACCAAATCATTGGCATACATAACGTGGTTGAGCAATAGGGAGCCATCCCTTGACCGCACCCGGGCATCGATCAGCCTCCCATTATATCTGTACCATATGGAGATTCCCCCGGTACAGCTATTGAAGGCTTCACGAACTACGTGGTCAAAATAGATGTTAAATAATGTGGGAGCCAGAGGACATCCCTGTCGCACCCCAAGGTGTACAGGGAATGGCTCTGACTCCCGGCCATGTAGTTTTACCCGGGCCCGCTCACCATCATGAAGGTCTTTA